GTATCAGTTGTAATGTCTCCTTTTTCATCTCTGATTTTATTTATTTGGAGCCTCTCTCTTTTTTTTCTTGGTTAGTATAGCTAATGGTTTGTCAGTTTTGTTTATATTTTCAAAAGCCCAACTTTTTGTTTTGTTGTTCTTTTGTATTATTTTTTTGTTTTCAATTTCATTCATTTCTACCCTGATTTTTATTATTTCTTTTCTTCTAATTTTGGGTTTGGCTTTCTCTTGTTTTTGTAATTCTTTGAGATGCTTTTCTATTATTTCTAGGTAGGCACTTATTGCTATAAACTTTCTTCTTATTACTGATTTGCTGTATCCCATAGGTTTTGGTATGTTGTGTTTCCATTTTCATTTGTTTTGAGAAATTTTTTAATTTCCTTCTTAATCTCATCATTGACTCCTGGTAATTCAGGAGTGCATTGTTTAATTTCCCTGTGTTTGTATATTTTCCAATGTTCTTCTTGATATTGATTTCTAGTTTTATTCCATTATGGTCAATGAATATACTTGGTATAATTTCAATTTTTTTGAATTTTTTGATACTTGTTTTGTGGCCTAACATATGGTCTATCCTTGAGAATTATCCAGGAGCTGAAGAGACAAATGTGCGTGAGTCCTTCCCTTCAGGGCAGCATGTTTCCTTCTGACCCAGGGTGGGTCCAGAATTGCCATCCAGGAACTAGGGCCTGGAGTCAGGGAGGTATAGGAGTCTGCTTAGTACTTTATTTTACTGTGGCTAAGCTGGTACCCAAGGTGCAAAACAAAGTCCTCTGAGCTCTTCCCTTTTCTTTACCCAAGTGGAAGAAGACTCCCTGAGCTGCACTGCTTGTAGCTGGGGATGGAGGGACACTGGCTTGGCTGCCACTGCTGGTTTCTTCCTGAGTCATGTGCACCCCAAGTCCACTGGCTCTGAGCCACCATAGCTGCAAGAATTGTCCAAGGCCTTTGTAGCCCAAATGCCTTATGAATTTAGTCCAGGACCCAGGCTGCTTTTTGTCAGCCAGCGCTGTTGCTAGCTGTAATTTGGGTTTTGGGGTGGGGGATTTCTCTCTGGCCATGCTGGTCTAAATGTTCCCTCCATGAGCACTGGCAGAATTCTGCCCTGTGCTGTGTTCCCCTGTGCCAGGGTGGCCCTGAGTTTCAATGCAAAGTCCTACAATCACTTCACTCTCCTGGGCACACAGATTCTCTCTCCATTTGGTAAGAGATAGCACAGCACTGCTGAGGGATGGGGGGAGGTGGTGTAGGCAATGCAAGATTGTCTTTTCTGCCCTCTTCAGTGCCTCTTTCCTTGATATAATGTCAAAACCATGTAGTATGATCATTCACCTTATTTTTGATTCTTCTGAAGTTGCTCACTTGTGTGGATAGTTGTTGAATTTGGTGTTCGTGCAGAGGGACAATTGCTGGAGATTTCTATTTGGCTATCTTCCTGTG